GTCTCGAACCCTCGGGCTCAGGCAATCCACTCACCTCAGCCTCCCAAAGGCACGGGATTACAGGCTGAGCCACCAAGCCTGGCTAGTTGTCTCTATTAAATTTTTTTTTTTTTTTTGAGTCAGAGTCTCACTCTGTCACCTAGGTTGGAGTGTAGTGGCATGCTCACAGCCACCACAGCCTCGACCTGCTGGGCTCAGGGAATCCTTCCACCTCAGCTTTCCAAGTACCTAGAACCACAGGTACATACCACCATGCCTGGCTAATTTCTGATTCATTGTAGAGACAAGGTCTCACCAAGTTGCCCGGGCTGGTCTCGAACCCCTGGACTCAGGCAATCCTCTTGTCTCTGCCTCCCAGAGTGCTGGGACTACAGACATGAGCCACAGTGCCCGCCTGATTTTTTCTTTCTTTTTTTACTCTACAAATAATAGAATGATCACTTCCTTCAGTAAACATCCTGGAAACTAACAATGAAGTCAGGCATTATTCTCTAGAAAAGATATTTAACTGCTTTAGATAAAATGATAAGGGCTAAAGAGAACATTCCTTCCTGTGAAATTGTCAATATGTATATAAGATTCATTAAAAAAAAAAAACTTAAGAGGCAAGATGTGTTAAGCACAGTACAGAAGTTGGCAATATAACAAAGAAAAATATATTTACCCAACCAAAAAACAACTCCTGACCAAGGTCAGGGTGATTCAGCATTTTCTGGGAGTCCATTAGAAATGTAAATTACAGACCCCACCCTAGATCTAGGAATCAGAACCTCCAGGAGTGGGGCCAGGAAACCTGTGTGTTAAATTCTGGGAGTGTTTGATAACCACTGTCCTCAATTAACTGTGTAAATATAACTTGAAACTTCACCCTGACGCCATGAGAAAGTGGCTGAGGGAGGCGCGGAGCAGATAAAAGCTTTTTAGCCTCCCTTGTTCAGCTGCTTTCTTTAAAGGAAAATATCCAGGATTACTACAAAAAGGTAAGCGAGTTTTCTTCTGTAGATCACTTTTTAAAAAAAATCAGAGTCTCATTCTGTCATCCAGGCCGGAGTGCAGTAGCACGCTCACAGCCACCACAGCCTCGATCTGCTGGGCTCAGGAGATCCTTCCACCTACGCCTTCCAAGTAACTGGAACTATAGGCACACGCCACCATGCCTGGATAAGTTTTTGATTTATTGTAGAGATGAGGTTTCGCCAAGTTGCCCAAGCTGGTCTTGTACTCCCAGGCTCAGGCAATCCTCTCGCCTCTGCCTCCCGAAGTGCTGGGATTACATGTGTGCGTGAGCCACCGCACCTGGCCTGATCACTTTCTTAATCAGAGTTTTCTTTAAATTCCTACACTTGATCTCTCTACAGAAGCTTATTATACATATATACATATGTATGTACAATAATATATAGATGCGTGCCCTGACTTCTTCACTTGTTCTTTTAGCCAGGGCAAAGAAAAAAATAGAAAAAACAAAATAAGGATAGATGTAAATTGAGTACATAGACAACCTTCTGAGGTGACAAGTTATTCCTCATCATTTCTTTCTCTTGGTTTCTGTAAAAACACTCAATCTCTTTTCTGTCTTTTTCTTATTTCTCCTTGAACGGGTTTGACATAAAATACCGTTTTAAAAATGTATTACGCATCTAGTTTGCCAGCTGTAGGTCCAGGGCATCAAAGGAACTTAGTTTTCTATGAACGGGGAGTGCCCCACAAGTAAACTTGTTTATAGAAAAATAAAGTCAGCTGGCTACAAAGAAAAGAGAAGAAGGATATGAGTCCTGGGAATGAATTCCACGTCGAGTAGGCAGGGCCAGGGGTCTCTGTGGAAGGGGTGTCTGAGCTGAGCACAGAAGGGGGAAAGCAGGAAGCAGAGCTGCAAAACCGCGAGAGAATGGCTGCCTCCTGGCTGTGGAAGTCCAAAGGGCAGCCTGGTCAGACTACTGAGGACGAAGTGAGCTTTCGGGTCTTATGCTCAGTAGGGGGGAAGGTGATCAGAAACCTGATTTTAGTTTTAGGAGAGTATCCAGTGACTGAACTGAGAGAAGCTGGAGACAGGCCGAAAGCAGGACAGAATATCAACGAGGAAAATAATCGTTGAGTTGGTGAAATGATGGCTTAGACTATTGCTCTGAGTGAAGGAATCATCAAGCGAGTTACGGGGAAGAAAGGTATCGTGTAGAGATCCAGAGCAGCTTTAGATATGTTAATTGGGCTGCTTGTTAGACATTCAGTTGCAAAAGAGTCGAAAGCTGTGTGTGTAGGCAGGAGACTGAAATCGGAGAGTAGGACTTCAATCTTCAGAATTAAATCTCAGAAATAGATGCAATTCCCTAAGGAGAGACAGGAATCGAAGACCAGAACTGAACCTTGAAACACTCCAAGAGGCTGCAGAGACAAAAAAGGCCTTTCGGAACTGTGCAGTGGAGGAAGAGGGATGTCACCTGTAGGATCTGGACAACAAAAGATGTCCCAGGCACAAGGACCTGGTCTTCAGTCATGTTAACTGCTGCTGACAGCTCAAGGGAATTTTGAATTGGTGAATTTCTTTGTTTTGGTGACTCAGTGGAGTCATCTAGGATGCATTCAGGGAGGTAAAACAAAGGAGGCATCCTGGGAGTCGAAAGATGTCAGCAGAACAAAGGACTATAGCATATTCAAAACCAAATAAATAGAAAATATTTGCACTTTATAAAATACAGTATATGAGGGGCTACTCTTTTAGATCTATAAATATTTCTTGAAATTGCCCCCCCCCCAAAAAAAAGAGGCCAAAGAAAAGGGGTGAGAGGCAGGGACATACAATTTATAGCAAAAGAAATATAAATGATTCTTAATCATATGAAAATAGAAGTCTTACACATAACAGACCAGATAAATGTTGAAAATAGATGAAGATACTATTTCTCACCCAGCAAGTGGGCAGTAGCCCAAAAGTCTAACACCTTTCTCATTCATTGCTTGGCATGCAAAATTGTGTAACCCCTGTGGCTGGGAAACTGATAAAACATATCACAATCGCAGATGCATTTGCCAACAATCCCGCTTGTAAGGAATATGCCCTTTAAGGCCAAGAATCTCAACTTTTTAGTTTCAGTGGCCTTCTGCATTCAAATTATTGATGAAGATTCCAATAAGCTTTTGTTTATGTTAACATCCATATTTATTGTACTAGGAACTAAAATTGCATTTTATAGTTTAGTCATTTAAAGTAAGCAAAGCAAAAACTTTTTATAATTCTTTTTAAACAAAAGTAGTTATGGAGAAGAGTGGCTTGATTTCCTTGGTTTGCAGATCTTTTCAAGTCCCAGTGTTTTCTGGCATCTGACTCCGCATTCCAGCTGCTTCACTATGTGTTTTGGGTGAAGACTCTGAAGGAAATCTGACGTCACATAGATGCGTATTGGAAAAGGAGAAGGTATTCTAATAGCTTTTTCAGATAGTTGTGATTTTTCCCTTATAACCCTCTCAGTGAACTGTGTGTGTGTGTGTGTGTGTGTGTGTGTGTGTGTTTGCGCGCATGTGCACTTTGTTGCCTCACCCTAGACCCACCTTTCTCCACTGATTGTCAGCACCATGCTTTTTGTTGAGAGCGTCTTTTGTTCTAAATGACTTACAGGAAGAGTGCGGTGCTATGCAGTTGCTTACCATTAACTTTCAGCCTGTTGCTCCAGATTGTGACCTAAGAGAGCCCCTCTGGTCTTAGAACACTGGCATAACTTGTCTCTTCCCCACACACGTGGCTGCCAGATGTGCACGTTGAATTTGAAGAGTCCAGGATGTGCCGGCCTATTCTGTCTACGAGGGCTACTTCCTTGGGTCTTTTGTGGACCCAGAAATGGCCCCGTGTGCCTGCTCCAGACAGTGAAGGAAGTCTGCCAGTCTTGTCCGGAGCAAGCACAGGGATGTATCCCCCATCAAAGGAAACTGTCTTGTCTTCAACTAGGGACACCCACAGGATGTCTCAGAGGCTCGGCCCCCAGTTACCACAGAGCGTCACCGAAGATGCCTATTGTGAGATACACCTGGCGCCCTCCCAACTGTTCTGTGACACGGACCAAACCACACTCTGCGGCAAATGCTTCCAGTCCCAGGAGCACAAGCATCACTTAGTGTACGAGATACAAGAGGCTGCCGAGAATTACCGGGTAAGCTTCATGCAGATCCGGGGCACTATGGCTAACTCCTATGACTGATTGGACAGATAATTCTGATCCTTACTTGATGTTTATTAAAGAATACCAGACAAATTCCATATATCGTTGAACTTTCAGCTTCATGGCAAAGAAAATATATTGTCAGAGCTGTATGTTGTCTAAGGCTAAAAGTCCAACTTTTCTAATGCAATTAATTCCCTTCGAATCCTGTGCTCCGTTTCTCTACAGAAGTTATTCCAGGAAATATTGAACACATTGAGGGTGAAACTCGAAGCAGCTAAAAGCATATTGGCTGGTGAGCAAGAAAGAATGGTGATGATTCAGGTCAGTGCTTGCCTTGATTCTCAGGAGAAAATTACCAATAATGTTGATAACAAATAAAACATCATAAGTCAAAAGACAAATGACAAAGCAGGAAAAAAATATATGAAATCCATAAAAGAGAAAAGTGCTAATGTCTTAATGCATCAAAAGCTCTTAAAAGTCGATTAGAAAAAGGCTAGAAATTCAATAGAAAAATGATCAAAGAAATGAGAGTTTGCAGAAAAGAATGTGCAAATATCTTTTAAACATACAAAAAATTCTGAACTTTGCTCTTGCTAAAATAAATACAAATTAATTACATTAAGTCATTAGTGAGATAGAATTTGCAACCCTTATTGGCAATGATCAAAAAGATTAATAACACGGTTTGTAACAGTGGCATGGAAGAATGAGCATCTCTTGTATTTTTGGTGTCCACAGAAATTGTGAAAGCCCTTACGTTTGTGGATTGGCATTCACAACAAGGGCTCACCGTGTGCTAGGGACGATTCACTTCTAATTTCAAACATGTCTTAATGTGTCTTGACTATTCTGCCAAGTATCTCAGATTCTGGGGCTTCTCTCTCTTACCTGGCTCCCACCTATAATCCCAGCACTTTGGGAGGCCAAGGTGAGAGAATTGCCTGAGTCCACAGGTTCGAGACCCGCCTGGGCAACTTGGCGAGACCCCCATCTCTACAATAAATCAAAAAATTAGCTGGGCAGGGTGGTGCACACCTGTAGTACCAGCTACTTGGAAGGCTGAGGCAGAAGGATTGCCTGAGCCTGGCAAGTTGAGTCTGGAGTGGCCGTGAGCATACCACTGCACTCCAGCCTGGGCAACAGATGAGACTCTGACTCAAAAAAAGAAAGAAAGAAAGAAAGTAAACCTCCAGTTGGTGATGGTAGTGGAGGAGGGTTACCTGGCTAGTTAAGACTTTTCCAGTGGATTCCCAGTTTCTTCAGTCCCACACACCCATATTCTACAATGACTGAGGCCTCACTATTTGCCAAGGACCGTGGGAGGTGCTGGGGGTTCATCACGGATAAAAAGAAAACAGTCTTCTTTCTGTGGAACGTAATCTAGCGGACATAAGCAAAATATGTTCTACAGAGTGTGTTACACGGTAAGTGCTGTAGAAGACAGGAAGAAAAGCAGTGGGTGCGCTTCTACCTAAGGTGACCAGGAGCTTGTCCCTCAGAAAGCGGCCTTTGAGAAGACTTGGGAGGCGAGGGCTTCAGCCATGCAGTCGTCTTAGAATACTCCAGGTGGGGGGACTGGCAAGTTCCCAGGCCTTGAGGCTGGCGTGTGCTAGGCCGGGCTGTGTCGAGAACAGTTCTGCAGATGATGAGACCAGAAGGTGAGGGGCCGGGCATTTAGGGCAGCTGCCTTCCAGGAGACACGGACCCCTCTGCAGGGTTTGAACAGAAGAGTGACGCAATTTGGCATCCACTTTCACAGAAAAATGCTAGCTGCCAAATGAAAATAGACCGTAGGAGGGTAAAAGCAGAGGAGAGGAGACTCGAAAGGGGACTGTTCAAACCACTTAGCATTCCTTCATCGGCATGTTGTGTTCTCGAACTGGGCGATGTCTCGACTGATCTTGTCACATCGAGAGGTGATGAGCAGTAGTCAGGCTCTTGATAAATCTTCACTCCATTGAGTCTTGTGAGATTAAATATCCTCTCTAAAACGATTATTCTCAAATGTATCCCTAGCCCAGATTTCCAAATGGGAGACTGGCATGTTCAGTTTTCCACTTAGCATCTTTCCTTGGATGTCCCATTGGTTACTCAAAGTCACCATACCTAAAACAGAGTTCCTGGTCGCTCCTGGTCTCCGGAATCTAGCTCTTCCATCACTTCCCTTTCCGCGTTTGGCGACTCCATCTTTCTAGTTGCTCAGTCTACAAACCTTGGTGTCTTCCATCCGTAACTCCTTTTTTTTCTTGCACCCTCCATCCAAAGCAGTAGCAAATTCCATGGCCCTAATCCAATGTCCTGGTCTCCTCTTCTGTAATCACGGAGGCTGTCGCGCCCTGAGCTTTTGTAAATCGCTTAGCACTCCTTCATCGGCATTTCGTGTGCTCTGACTGGGTGATGTCTTGACTGATCTTGTCACATTCCCTTCATCCTTTGGGTGTACATCTTCCCCTGCACTTTGTATTTCCTTGTTTTTATACTGGGTTAGAGAGAGAAATAATACATTGTGGTCAGCATAAGATATATGTCACCAATCTGTCATGTTTAACCTGAATTTTATCGTATCTATGAGGAAGGAAGAGGAACAGAAACTTAAAGAGATGATTGAGTCTGAATATAGGATAAACCTCCTATTGTTAAACGAAGAGAATCAACTGAACTTCCAGAAAACGCAAAGAGGTACATTTGACTTGAACATGAGAGAAGCCAGTCTAAATCGGTTTGCCACAGAGCTTGAGGAGAATTCCCAAGAATCGCTTCAGGTGAGATGTTGAAAGCAAAATCCTCCTAATGTTTGAGGAATGAGAGAAAGGATCTGAACATTCCATCAATTCCAGAATAAGACATTTTGTGAGAAACACAGCTGTATTAAATGAATGTATATACCCACTGCACAATTCTATTTCTATGAGTTTATTCTTACATTATATAAAAAGACACATGAATAAGACAAAATATACCTAAAAATATATTGGTGTGCGTGTATATATATATATTACTATACTATACTGCAAACATACACATATAAAAAGACACATGAATAAGGCAACACAGTAAAACTGAGTTTCAGTCCAGCACAATGGAACTCCTTTATGAGTTCTGCTACTTACTAGCTTCTCAGTGGCCTTGAACTTGTCGCTTAACCCGCAACTCGTCCATGTAGCCAATTAAAAAAAAGTGGGAATGAAAGTGGCCCCTAATTCTTCACATTGTTGCGAGGTTTGAGTGAGATAATCAACATAAAGCTCATTAAAGAGTGTCTTGTACATGTTAGGCAATCACTAAGTGATTAAGTAGTGTTGTTGTTATCGTGACATTTATTGATAGAAACTAGAAACCAACCCCCTATATCAGTCAACAGAAGATTCACAAAATAAGTTGTACTCCATACATAATATAGAGAACTCTTCAGCATGGTTAAGGATGTCTTGGCTTTGTACATGATTGAGAAACTCTCCAAGAAAAAAGCAAGTTGTCAGATTAGCAATAGAGTATAATAAGCCATGACTTATATATTTTTTTTAAGTAACATAATTATGTTCTTATGTGACTAGGTAGAGTATATTTGGAAGGATAAAAAGGAAACATACGTGTAGCATAATTATTCCTGCTTATTCCTTAAATTATATAACTTGATTTTTAAATTATGCTACATTTTTAATTTAATGAAGCATCAGGAAGCTTTCTGAACAGGCAACCACAGCAAAAAAAGGTGTGGTGTTCTGGGTGCGTGTTGCTACCCTGAGCCAGGGGCCTATGTGCCAACGCCCATAGCAGCTAAACATCGGCCGGGTGTCAAAGGATCACGTTTCTGTGGAGGAGCGTCCTGCGTGTCACAGAGGGATATCACAGCCACACCTGATCGTGTCTGTTTCTGGGTGGTCAGCAGGGAGTTTTAAAGACATGGTTGAGGAGTGAAGAAGAGAAGTTGCCAGTTGTTGGATAATAATTAAGACGCTTCTGCAGAGACTGAACCACCTGGGGACAGAAACCATGAGAAAACTGAAGGAGAGTGCAGTCAGGGTTTCTGAGCACATCTGCAGCCTCCAGCAGGCCGCCACAGAGCTCGAGAAGAAGTGTGAGGACTCGGCCTCAGTGCTGCTCCAGGTAAGATTCGGGGAAAACTTCAATTGAGAAGTGGGAAGTGGAGGGTGCTCGCAGGGTCACTCCCAGAACACAGCATCCAGCCGTCTTCAGCCACACAGGAAGGCTAAGTGGTGATTTTCCCGTTGCCAATAGCATTATGAATCATCAGACCATGGTATAGTGTAGAGCTGCTTCATGAGATGAATCCTCACCTTCCGTTTATCAATAGTAAGTTTGAATTGAGATGTGCCACAAAAGAGTAAATAAGTGGTGAGTCAAATTGTGAGACATCCATACAGTGGTATATTCTGTAACCACAGAGCATAGACCTCTGCAGGCATTAAAATGCTATCTTCACGCTGTCTTGTTAAGTGTAAAAAGACGTATCCAACACTGATTTTTGTTTGGTTTTTAGAGTATAAGTATACACACACACACGCACGTGTGTTTGTTAACTCATATTCACAGAATTTCTCTGGCAAAAGAGACACTTGCGTTGTAATCAGTGGCAACCTCGGGAAACAAGGGTAAGATTTATTGGTAAAGTATCTGCCATGATCTGAATGTGTGTCACCCCTGAGGTGATGATATGAGGAGGTGGGGCCTTCGGACGGTGATGAGGTCTTGGGGACAGAGCCCTCACGAATGGAATTAGTGCCCTTTTAAAAGAGACAGAGAAATACCTTGCCCCCTCCATGTGAGCCTGGCGTGAGATGAAGGCCACCGGTGAGATGAAGGCCACCGGTGAGGGACACCACATCTGCCAACACCTTGATCTCGAAATTCCCAGCCTCTGGAACCATGAGAAACACCTTTCTGTTGTGAAGAAGCTACCCCGTCCATGGTGTTTTGTTTAAAGCAGCCTGAGCAGACTAAGTGCTGTGTATATTGAATTGTGTGCAATAGCATACGCTGCCTTTTCAGAAAGTAGGTTACTATCCTTTTAAGACTGTCTGTAGCCCTCTGCCAGGCACGTCCTTGCCGTGTGAGTGCTCTCATTTGGAAGCCTCTGGAAGCCTCCCTCAGGAAGCAGCCAAGCTCTAGAGCCAAGCCTGGTTGCAGTTTGTGTAGCCAGAGGGACCTGGCGATGCACATCCCCAACCTGCTTCCCACCGCCCTCCAGCCCCACTTGGCACCCCTGGCACAGAAAGCATACTGGCGGGCGCCATGTGGAGAGCGATGGCCCTAAGAAGATGGCTGAGGGGAAGTACATAAACACTTCCCTTGGTGACATAACACAATGATTTCAGGTGTTTTTCTGACTTCTCCCACTCCATCGTAAAATTTCACATCAGAATTAGAAGGAGGCTGAAGAAATCACACCCACGTCGAGTGCATTATTTAAGAGAGGGTGTTTTCATGGGCACAGCTCACAGAAGACTTGGCTCAAATACCCAGTAGTAACCTTGTCTCTTTTTCCCCTGTAGAATGCAAGATGCTCCTTGGAAAGGTAAGTTCTCATTTTGGAGACAGTCGGGTCAGAAACAGAGTCGGAGGAGTTGAGCACAGCACCTCGGGTTGGGACAGGGAGGTCACATTTCCTGGTGGTGTGTGATGAGACCCCTCCTCTAAATAAGCAGGGGTCTGCGGTCTGTGGATGACCAAGGCTGTCCTTTGCTCCTAGAAGTGAGTCACTGCTGCTTCAGGACCTGGAGCCCACCCACACCACAGACCTGAGTTCATGCCGTGTGAGAGGAATGAGCAGAATGCTGACATTTTACCAGAGTGAGTTGGAACATTCGGGATTGCGGGCACTTTGGCTGTGCATTTGAGAAGCAAGTGACCATCCCACCATAAACAAAAGTGGATCCCAGTAGTCGGACAATTTAAAAAGACTAGAGAGCTTAATATATACCGTAGACGGCTGTCAAGAAAATAACTCCGCTCTTATGTTAAAAGTTTTTCCCTTGCGGATTATTTACGAGTTTTCCAACCCTGAAAGATAATTTCAGGTGGATTCTACTATTTAAAAATGTCAGGCTTCTGAGGGGGGAAATTCAGCATGTGTAACAGAGGTCTTGCATCTGTGGGTTGGCCTTTTCCAGAATGTCCTATCCATAGGATCATACGGTATGTAGCCTTCCGAGGCTGGCTCCATTCACCAGCATAGAGCCCCTGAGACACGGTACATCCAAGCGGCTACATGTAGTGTAGTTTGACCCTTCCTGTCGGTGATCACATTTCCTCATCTAACTTATTTATCCTTTTGCAGTTCTGTGGACCCAGGTTGTTTCCGACTTTCTGCTCTATGTACTGGTGTGCAGGTTTCCTATCTTGGTTGCCTGTCAGAGTGGAATTGTCAGACTTGTTTTTCAGACTCCGCCATTTTGCATTCTCACCAGTAGTGTAGGGAGATTCTGTTATTCCTTATCCTCGCCAGCATTTGTATTATCAGAGTATCTCATTAAATCCAACCCAAGAGATGTATATGATGTAATGAGTGGTATCTCATTTACATTTTCCTGTAGCTTACATGACTACTGATGCTGTGCATATGCATCATGTGTTTCTTTGCTCTCTGCATCTACTTTGGTGAAGTATCTGTACAAACCTTTTTGTCCCTTTTTGAAAATTGGCTTGCACATTCTCTTACGGAATTTTGTGATTTCTTTTTTTTTGAGTTGGAGTCTCACTCTGTCACCCAGACTGGAGTGCAGTGG